CTCCATCCTGAATTGAAAAAAAATTATATAAAATACGTATATTTTGTCTTGTACATCAGTTTAAACTTGACGCTTTCAGTTGAAGGTAATTTACACGCGATCGCTGCGGAAAATTGTTTATTGTTTAAAAGTGAATAACTTGTGTTTAGTGTGTCCGATTGTTATGCGGTTTGATGAAGGATGATTCAGGTATGTAAAATTCAGATATGTATTTGTTTTTCGAAGATTTTGCTTGTACAACGGGTTATTGTAACCGACAAGATCGGTCTGTTAAAATCGCAAACTTTGAATCGAGCTTTTAGAAAAATGGAGCTACAAAAATTGTAATGAATTGTAAGGCATCAGTTCAAGATCCGTTAAATAGCTTAGAGTTTTGTCTATCAAGCCATCAATAAATTATCTGCCCCAACTCGCCCCCGCGGGGCCCCTGCTCTTTAAAACTACAAGTTCTTGGGCGCTCAGGCAGGGTTGTGGTAAAAAACCTCGCGATTTTAAGCCTATGTCGCGCGCGTATCTGTGTTTTTGCTTTACAAAATATAAGATTTTTTTTTATTTCTGGGTTGCGTTCATGACGTGTACTCGATTCACTCGGATTTAACTCAAAACGTTTATTAAGATATTTAACACCAATTTTACATATTTAACCCACCTCTTGTAGGTGCGTTAAAACAACTCCGCATGCGCATTGTAGTGTGTTAATGTCAAATTTGAAATGTGGTTATTTGTATTGACAATTTTTTTTAGCGAATTAAGAAATCGTAAAAATTTAAAATACTTAGTATACAATCTGTTATATTTAAATTTTATAAATAGTTTTTGAAATTTACGGGTTTTTAATTAATTTCGACAATTTTTTATAAAAATGTCTGCCATTTGAGGTCCACCATTTCGAATTTTGGAATTAACCCCTGTATGGTGATTTTCAATTTATTCCGTCAATTTTTTATTTTGGAATTATGATTCCAGATTCGTTATCAGCGACCCCAAAAACCGCTATATACGGATTTTTTGGAGAATCCGACTACTCCTTGATATTTTGCCGAAAATTTCGAGAATTGAAACACTGTGCGGCGGCCATTTTTATGATGTTGTTTACAATTCTTGTGCTTTGGATTTTTACTGTTTATACAGAATCGTTTTAAGCGTTGTGTTTTTTACAGAGGCACTTGTAATGAGGCCATTTTACTCCTTTTTTGGTAAAAATAAACCTTATTCTATCAGCGCTGTCGTCACTGTCAAATTTCAATTTTAAGGTTAACCCACAAATTTAAATTTGAGTTTAATGACAGCCCTGATAGAATAGGGTTTATTTTAAAAAAAAAAAAGTTAAATGGTTGTTCTTAAGGCCTCATTTGAGGCTTACAAGTGCTTCTGTAAGATACACAACCTCTAAAACAATTTTTAATCTGTATAAACAGCACAAACCCAAAGCAGAAGAATTGTAAACAACATAAAAATGGCCGTTGCAGTGATTTTAGTATGCGCGTTGTATGGATTGTGGTCATACTTAACTTACTATAGTCGTAATTTCAATATGGAGTAGCATAAAAAAATGCATTACATCCTAGCGCAATTTCTAATGTGCACTTCCATAAAAGGCGAAACAGTGAGCAGCTGTTGCCTTCTGTCCGTTTCAATCCGCTCTATATAAGTAATGTTGGGGTAGGTAGTTAGTTTAACTGCATCTTCAAAATAAGTGTTTGTCTCCGGCGTAATAAACTGGCGAGTGTGCAGGCGACGTTCCGGCCCGATCTTATTTATGTGTTCCATGTACTAGGTGCTTAACTCCGAGCAACACATTCCTGCGGTGATTGCTGCGGATATAATCTTTAATGTGCCCGATGCAAGTTAAAAACGGACTTATCTAACATATTGCGCATGCCGATACTTCATTTGCATACAACATTGATAAATTTGCATACTAAATAGTATTGAGAGGTTTACTTTTTGAAAGGACCAAAATACAATTACATATTTTTGAAACATTGTATGGTTAAGGTTCTATGTACAATATAGAAATATTTTTATGCAAAAATCCCATTTTCGAGAAAATGGCTGATAGAACCATATTAAACCAAGGTAGCGATATATAACTACATATATATACTTATAAGTAATAGCTAATGAAGCTAACAAAAAACTTTAAAAAAATTCTTTAATAATTATAATTAAGCAAAAGTAAAAAATACAAATTTGGGAAAAACCCAATATAACTTCTTTATAACATATACACTAGTGGAAAAAGTTAAAGGATAAAAAATTTATTCCAAATTTTTAGCGATTTTTCAAATTTTGTTAAAAATGGCTGTATCGAAGTTTAAAAAAACAATTTAAAGCTTCAAGTCTCTAATTTTTGGACCTTAAGACAAAAAATTTGTCCAAGCAACAAGTATCGCGCAATCCTAATGAAGAAAAATTTTCAATTTTTTTTTGTTTTTTATTTTCTGTGTACGGGCTTTAAATGAAAAAGTATCATTTGAATTTGAATTAAAATTGAATTAATTTGCAATTTTGTAAAAAAATTCATAACTTTAAATGCCGTTTGGTATAAAAATGTGAAAAAAGTGGAGATAATTTTTTGGTCATTTTATTAGAGAGTATGAGGGTTTGAGAGTAAAAAAACGTGATTTCATTTTTTCAAAAATTCAATCGAATAAAACAAAAAAACGTCTGGATGGATCAAATTGAAACTTGCTAGTGGTTTTATGGGTATATTGAACTATAAAAGGCACATTTAACATTATACGTTTTTGAATAATCTCCATTCCGCGTGTGATTTTCCCAAAAACCTCCAAACCCCATTTTTTCACGATTTTTCAAAATCATGAAAAAAAAATGTTTTGAAAAAACATTAACCGAACCTTGTAGGGCATTTATTTCCAAAACCGACCTCCAATTTTTTGTGCGACTATTGGTTTCTGAGACGATCAAAGGAAAAATGATCCATTTTCATTCAAAGCCCGATAGCTCATGTTAATGCACACTCGGTTTAACGGCCTCGTGAACAACCTAAAACACTCGCATGAAATTGTTGCTTTTCAACACTTGTAAAACAAATAACTATTATTTACTCCTACATTGATAAGTTGTTACTTTATGGCGTGTTAGTCACGGTCTGAAGTTAACAACAGTTGCTTTTAAGCATTTTAGTCACGGGCTGAAGTTAGCCTTATTATAAATTGTGAAAAAGTGAGGTTAAATACGTCAAATGTCAAATATTTAAGAAATAAAATTGGCTTTAAATTCTTATTTCTGTTCGTCGTAGATAAAGTATACCTAGTATGCAATTTGTTTTATGAAATTCTCTAGCCACTCGTTTTTATTAAACATTCGCTTGCAGGCTTCGCTCGTGCCTAATAAAACACGTAGTTAACTAAAATGGCGTTTATAAAACTCGATACATCTAATCCCCTGTGACTTTATGGCGTTTTAGTCACGGACTACAGTTGGCAACAGCGGCTTTCAAGCTTTTTAGACACGGGCTGAAGTAAGCAGTATTATTAATTGAAAAAAAGTGAGGTTAAACCGTCTGACAACGTTTAAACGTTATATTGGGAAAAAGTAATAAGTTGTTGTTGGCCTCAAGAGTTAAAATTGTTGTAAACCGGTCCAAGAACCGCTTGTTTGTTACGAACCAGTCCGTAACGAAAATAAACAAATTATAAATCTGGACCGGTACAAATTTTGGACCGAACCGTTTTCAAGAGTTTTGGACCGATATTAGAGCGGTTTTGGAGAGATTTAAATGCTTTGGACCGGTCAAAACATTTTATATTATTATTTTAATTATTATTCTTTTTTATTATATTGGAAATTGATTTTTTGCTAACAATAAAATTAAAAAAAATTCGTATGGTGTCGTTGCTAAGAAATTAAATATTTTCATTTGCAAGGCAAATATCGAACGAAAAGTGACGTTTCGGTCTGTCTGTGAAAAGTGACAGGTCGACCTGTGCAAAAAAGTCAGATTTTGTTTTCAAGCTCGTACGTAACTTAAACACTTGCATTAAAAAGTCGATTTTCAATACGCTCGCGTAATTCTAAGGAAAAATAACGGTCATTATTCGACACTTGTCATTTTTACAGCTGTCATTTATCATTTTAACAGTTGTCATCTAGTCACCTGCCATTTTGACGGATGTCATTTTGCCGGCATTTTGAAACCTCTCATTTTGATATAGTATAGACGTTGTTTAAAATGGCAACTTTCCAAATTACAGGTGTCAAAACGACAGGTGTCAAAATGACAGCGGTGAAAATGACAGGTGCGAACATACTAGATGTAAAAATGACTGATAATAAAATTACTGGTGCCCAAGTGACAAGTGCCAAAACAACATACCTATGTCAAAATCACAGGTGCCAAAATAACAGCTGTAATAATAAAATAATAACTAGTGATAAAATGACCAAATAACAGCTGTCAAAATGACAGGGGCCCAAATAAAAACTGTCAAAATGACAGGTGCTGACAAAACTCACCATTTATAAGATTTAGAGCCATACTAATCCACATTTTCTCCATGATACCCACAAATTCTTTGATTTACAATTTTTTTGTTTTTCTCTTAATTTACCTAATTTAAAAAAACTGACTGACAGATTTTTGAAAAAAATTCCAAATCTTATTAAGAATTAAAAGACCTTTAAAACGATATGTCACTCAAACCCCCGTGAAATTAAAGATTTTGGGGGCGGGTGGGGTCGTACAATAAATTTGAAAAAAAATTGACTTAAGTCATATACATAGGGTTCTTAATAAATCTAATAGTAAATTTAATAATGAAAAATTAAGAAATAATAAAAGAGAACACATTATTCAACTGAATATTAGCATTTCTTTATCACTTCAACATAATTTCCCAATAAATAATTAAGTCACGTGGTGGCATTGCCAATGCGCATGTTACAGACCAGAAATTCGCATGAATTTCTCCTGAATTCATATAAGTTAATGCGAGTATATAAAATGTTATTTTAGTAGTTATCATGATACATACCTGCAGGATAAACAGGATGCACGTGGAACTTGAAGGCGGCAGGAGCAACTAGTTGCGAGCATGATATCAAAAAACCATGGTTTACGATGTGTACCAGCACTGCACAAACAGCTACCACCCATCCCCATCCTCCCTCGGGATAATAATGGCGACATAGGAATCTTCTGGCTTGTATCTGCAGATGACAGGATTTACAAAGTTATTGCCGAATTTTTTTACTATAAAAAATTCGATTTAGTGGAGAAATAAATTTGGCTTGAAATTTTCTTGTGTGCTTTTTTGGAGTGGGATATTAGGAAATGCGAACTTTGGGTCAACACATTTGTGAAAATAAGTAGTTAAGTAAAGTTTGAAGATTAAATAGACGCTTCCCAGACGAAGCTTGCTTGAATGCCAAATACAGATAAACAGCTTTTCGTATTCAGACAAAAATAAAGTTTTTAAAGCATTATGACGCTTAATACATAAGGAAAAGTTTTTCGTAAAAAATGTCACTACTTATTAGGAGTTATGCAACTTGAAAAATAACTTTTAGTTCATTAAAACAATAAATTACACAAAACCATTGGTTATGATATGTACTATAATAATAGTGCAAAAAAAGTTACGATTACCTGCAAAATATCCTTAATGAATTTTTACTATGGTTGGATAGTGCTATATTTAATTGTAGGGTAAAGTAGACAGATATCGGACACTTTATAGTTATTGGACAATTAACATTAATATTGTAAAAACAAGAATTCTATAAATAGTTACCTTAAAGTCAAATCATTAAATGACGCTGTATACAATTATAATTATCTCAGTCGGTAATACCTAATATAGAACGACTTTATTTTGGGTCCAATATAGGACAAAAAAGTTCGCACGTTACTTTGGTGGTAAGATTTTTGTTTTTTGTTAAGGGCAGGGCTGTGTTTAAATTACAATAAAAAATATTTCTAAAAAGTGTACAGATCAGTGTGTGGTATAAATGTGTTCCTCATGGTTTAAACATTGTCACTTTAAAGCGTTTTAATTTTAATTCTGAAAACAAAGAGTAGAATGGCCAGTGTCTAATTATTGGTTGGTAAAAAATGTCAATTTTTATTATTATTGGACAGATGTCCAATATCATACTCTATTTGTATCCCGGACATTTACCAGCTAAATCTTTTGTAAAATTGTCCCCTGAATCGAAAAGACCGTCAAAAACTATAAAAGTTAAGCAGTTTTTGAGATATAGTCAATTCCATATTATATGTCAAATTGATTAAATTTCAAAAACTGTTCTACTTTTATAACTTTTGACGACATTTTCGGATTCAGCGTATAATAATTCATAGGAATTGACTGCTAAATGTCCTGGGTACAAATTGCTGTTGACGAGAATTATTAGTGGGTGCTTTTTCGCTATGACATTTTTGACTAATTTATTTTTAGAAAGTAAGTAATATAGTTTCTTCGTCACAGGACATCTTGCAGAATAACATTGATTAAAATATAGTGCATGATAGAGAACGTAAAAAACTAATGGCCACAAAATTAATAAATTCGGAAAATACTTTTAACATACCACCCGAAAAAATATTACATAAATATAAATCATCCTGTTCCGGCCTAAACATTATAAATGCTTCACAAGCTAGAGATACCACACTTAATGATATTTGCAACAAACTATTTCAGAAGTCAGACCAAGGAATTAGTAGTTACCTTTAGAATCTAGAAAAGGGATGAGGAATCCGCGAAAGAAATATATGAATTATATGATATTTACAAAAACGAAATAAAAAAAATTACCTAAAACAGCAATTTATCTTTAAAAAATATATATAACAATTTATGTTATTTGATGTAAAGTTGTTATGTTTATATAAAAAAAAAATTAAATGTTCAATAACTATGTTCTATGTGTCCAATTACTATATAAAATGTCCAATTACTATTCTTTTTTGCATGTTTTTATAAAACTACTAATAAAAATTCAAATATTTTTATTTTTAAGTAAACGTAAATAAAGTTTAAACAAACAAACTATTCTTTTTATATATTTATACGAAAAAAACTAAAATCTTTAAAACAACGGCATTTGTATATTTTAAATAATTAATATTCCTTAAGTGTCCAATAACCATGTGGTTTACCTATCCCTATTCGATTAAGATATTAAAAAAAATACTGGTCTTGGAGCATTTTTATCAATTATTTTTAATAAATGTATCTGTTAATAAAAATCTTTTTAATATCGATTGGTCCATATTATGGACTCAATAATACCAATGAATGTTTAAGTTCGTACAATTGTGATGATTTAACCGTTTTCCGTGATAGTATCACTGCAAATTTATTCTCTTTTCGTTTTTAATTTTATCAAAATTTAAGTATTTTTACTATGCTTTTTTTAACATAATTTTTTTTTAAACATTTATTTTTTATAAATCTACATCATAAAAATACTAACAACCTATCAAAAGCCCGCCAAGAATCCCACCACCCAAATTTTGCAGTCTTTTGTCAAACTGACACCTGGATCTGATCAAACCTTTTTGGTTCTATGTGAGTAGTGCCTCAGTCTACGCTTCGGGTATTTTAAACTTACAGGTTTCCAAAAATTATAATTGCTTCAAGAACATAACAAATGAAACCGAAACCGAAGAGCACGTTAATTGAGCCCATTAAAAATTGAGATTTTTATTTGTCGAATAGAGCGATTATCGGACGAGCGATAATAAAACTACTCGAATTTGGAGCTCTTTGAACTGTCCGTAAATAATTGTTACCATGGCCGGGAATGGAGATATATTTGGTCTGAAGACGTGTAACGTAGTGTGCCATATATTTAACGTCTAAAAGTTTGGTGGTCATTACGTTGTCGGCAAAATTAAATGCACAATATGGAATCGTCGATAATATTCCTTAGTCACGAATTCAGCAAAAAACGTTTTACCCTTTGTTATTTCGTGATTGATTGGCTCTATTTCTAACAATTCTTTTGAATTATCAAGATGTTCTTTCTTTGATCATTTTTCTTATTTTTTTTGTCCTAAAAAATTTTTAATAGCTATATTTATCCAAAAATAACACTCAGCGCAATATGCATAAAACCGATATAATTTGTTTTTTGTTTAGATTTTTCTGTTTCTGTTTTGTTTCCAGATAAAATAAAGTATAATTTGGGCAAAAAAGTATTATTTTGTTTAAAAACGTATTAAAGCCATACTTTTTTTTAATTAGATTAGCTTTGTATTCTAAACAAACGAAATTTTTTAAAATATCTGCAATTCAGTAAAAATTTAAATTTGCTTGGAATATTTTCTGTTCGTTAATTGCACAAAAAAGTGAGAAAGATTTTTTTGTTTAAAAATTATATTAAATATTTCACTCATGGATTGTTGTAACAATTTAAAGGTACCAAATTAATAAGTTGAAATTTAAAAATTACTTCACCTTTATTGAACCAATCAAAACTTTTATTAACAGAGCAACCACCATGGTTACGTGTGTCTTACAGGGTAAGATACTTCCCTAACTCGATAAGACCACGTTGCATTGACAAAGGTTTGTCAAAAATTCTAGTGCGCAAGAGCTTTCGCGTTCGAAGCGCAGTCATAATTTTAATCAATAAATAGACAATTTGCAGTAATTTTATAGAAACTGGAGTTTAATATTTGATGATTTTGTCATTAACACTAAAAAATAACTTTCTCACTCTTTTACCTTTACAAAATTGTTTCAGTCTGCAAAATCTAAAAATTCTAAAAATTACTGCAACACTGCACATCATTTAATAGCGGCCATTTTTGTTGTTTACAATTCTTTTGCTTTGGGTTTGTACAGATTAATAATCGTTTTAAACGTTGTGTTTCTTAAATAGAGACTTGCAAGCCTTAAAAGAGAATTCAAAGTGGTAAGAACAATCATTTTACTCCTCTTTTGTAAAAAAATAAACCTTATTCTATCAGGGCTGTCAAATGTCAATTTGAAGGTTAATTTGTGGGTTATAAAATAACCTTAAAATTGATATTTGACAGTTTGATGAGAGCCTTGATAGAATAGGGTTTAGTTTTTACAAAAGAGGAGTAAAATTATTGTTCTTACCACTTTAAGGCCTCATTTGAGGCTTACAAGTGCTTTTATTAGAAACACAAAGTTTAAAACGATTATTAATCTGCACAAGAATTGTAAACAAAAAAATGGCCGCCATTAAATGATTTGCAGTGTTGCAGTGATTTTTAGTATTTTTAGTACGAGATCGAACAGACCTTGTTGGGTGGATTGTTAAAAAATCGTTATTTTAATAAATTAAGACCTTTATATACAAAAACTATTTATATTGTATTATTTTCATAAAATAAGATGAAATTAGTGTTAAATTGGCAGATACATAACCTCAATTATTTGTATTTAAATGTCAATTGGGGACTTTTGAATGTGGATCATAGTACTAGCTTTTTAACTTTTTGACCTATAATTATGATTATAATAATTATTAGTAGTTATACGTAGTTAAATCCTAAAATTAAAATGAGAGTTGGTGGGTCTATATGAGTTTTTAACTTTTATTGATACAACAAATTTTCTTTTATTAAGTAAAATATAAACGATAGAAACTTAGAAACATAGAAATGTAATGCTCTTTAAGGATCATCAGTCATTTATATGAAAACAAAATGGCCACATAAAATGCAGAGAGAAAAAACGAAAAATATGGGAATATGGGAAATTTTTAAAATTCTATGATGCACCTTTAAAATTAAAGTTAAGGGTTGGGACTTGTGAGAGCGACTGTTTTGGCACACCCTAATGTATATATTAGGTATAAGCTTTGTTTAATTTTTTTAACTACCTATTTTACTGTGACTTATTTGACTTTTTTTTAATTTTATGAAAATAAAAAAAGTATTTGAAAATTTGGGAAAATATTAAAAATTTTTACTCACACACAAAAACCTAAGAATTTCTCCATACAAATTTTATCGAATAAAAATAAAATGTGATCTTACCTGCGAAGCTTTAGCAGTATGTCGAGCATCGTCGACCGGAGCCGGTCCGGACAGCAGCGGCCAGCTTTGGGCGCGCGACAGCGAAGACATCGCACCCTTAGCGGCGGCCCACGCACTTTGTCAGACCCATTAGCAACTCAGGGCAGATCCTGCTCGTAATTTTCACTTCCCACATTACTTCCGACACGCACTTGCCTATAAAGATCTTCACTAATCCTGTCACCAGCATGACAACGCACATTTATCACTCATCGAGAGGACGATTCCACCGCAGCCGGAGCCAGGAACAACGCTTTCAAGATGTTTTTGAAGTAGTGTTGTGTATAATACTAATAAAAATAAAGTAGGTTTATAACGGGGTTGTTAAACCAATAACTTTGCATGGGTGTTTTAATGTCTGTAATATGCAATTTGAAACATTTTTGTCGAATCATAATCATAGATATCTAGGATCATAATTTTAATTCATCATAAATTTGCTCTGATGCGTCATGACGTCCCAAAACGACATGTCAGATTAGTTCATAGATATCTAGGGATTAGTCTATAATATTTGGATAACAAAAGAAGGAAATTATTTATTGCGTTTTAAAAATTTATTATTTAAATGAAATATACACAGTCAAAGTGTCTAGGGAACACCAAGAAAAATCGAATTAAATTTAATTAATAAATAATTTAACTTATAAATTATAAAACAACATAACTTAATATAAAAGAACACAATGTATAACACATTTTTTAATGCAAAAAATAAGGTTTTTTACTATTTATCGTATTTCTGGGTACCATTTAAACGGTGCAATTTAGTATATCTTGTGTTATTGACCCAACATTTATCAAATTTTTATAAAAATACTTTTATTATTATGGAAAGGCACCATCTAAGTGACGAACAAAACTTAAGATCAATTGGTATGATAGAGGGTGGTTTATCACAACGTAAAGTGGCTCGTCAAATGGACACATCTGTGAGTGTTATAAGCAGATTGTGGAGACGTTACAATGAGTATAATGACGTAAAAGAAAGACATCAAGGCCGCAGTAGGATAACTACCCCGGTATAAGACCGCTTTTTGCTTTTGCAAGCTCGGAGACACCCGGAAATAACAGCTCCCGAGCTAAGACAAGAGCTTCTTAGGACCCACGATTTGATTGTGTCAGCTCAAACCATCAGAAACCGTGTCCGAGAGCAAGATCTATTTTAGAAACGACCTTTAAGTGTACCCCGATTGCTCCCTGGAAATCGCGCTGCTCGTTTAGCTTGGGCACAAGAACATCTTAATTGGGGTTCTGATGATCGGAGCCGTATTATTTTTTCTGATGAGTCAAGATTTTGCTACCACCCAGATTCTGGAAGGATACGTATCTGGAGAGAACCTGGAATTCAAGCATGGCTACAACATGCTTGTGAGGTGGTGAATTTTGGAGGAGGTTCATTGATGTTTTGGGGAGGAATTAATACTAGCGGAAGAACCGAGCTCTTTTTAATGGAAACAACTTTGAATGCAGTTCGATATCGCGACAACATAGTTTTACCTATTGTGTTACCCTATTTAACCAATTTCCAGCATGATAACGCTAGGCCACATACTGCGAGGATCGTTCGAGCAGCATTCGAAGAGAATGATATAAGCATTTTACCTTGGCCAGCAAACTCCCCAGACCTTAATCCAATAGAAAAAGTATGGGATGCTATGAAAAGAAGAATTTTGAATCGCCAAAACCATTATGGACCAGCAGCAGCTAATTTTGGCGGTACAGGAGGTGTGGCGAAATCGGGACCAAAACCTACTCGATAGGCTGATATTGAGTATGCCAAATCGATGTAGGGCGGTCGTAAACAACCGAGGAGGTCCGTCTGGATATTAGTTTTTAATAAAAATAAAATGTGGCATAATTATTATAAATAACATATTAATAAATATTTGGATATTTCCTGGGTGTTATTATTTTAATTTTTGAAGGGGTTGGGACATCATTTTGCAATATATTTTTTATTTAATTAGTTAAAAACACGTTTTTATTAATTCATTATATTTTCACATTAGTTTTTTTGGTTTTACTGCAATAATTTAAAAATATTTAGGTGTTCCCTAGACACTTTGACTGTGTATATATTAAAGTGATTCAAAAAATCAACTATTCTTTTTTTGATTTCTGACGTCGAAAAATTAGTTGCTAGGCACCTAAAACAGGCCCATCTACGTATGAGCTACTTATGAGCTACATATGAGCTCTTAGGAAGATCTTACTCCTAATAGTATACTATTCTCTCTAAAAATGAACTAGTCAAAAATGACTAATTTAATAGTTTAACAGTCAATTCTTATGTAAAATTGTCCCCTGAATCCGAAAATACTGTCAAAAATTATAAAAGTGGAGCAGTTTTTAAGATATAGTCAATTCCATATTAAATGGAAAATTGACTATATCTCAAAAACTGTTATACTTTTTTCGTATTTAGGGGACCATGGTATTCCATGGTTAACCATAGTACAAGTGAAAAATCAGCCACTAATAACTATTAAATAAGTAATTTTTGACTAATTTTTGGTTATTTAATGATAATAAAACGTTCAATTATTATAATAATCATTAAAAGTATACTTATCTATATCTCTATAGAGAGATCTTAGAGTAGTCGAATTTTTGATTGTTTTGTACATACTGGTAGGTACAAACCTTTACCCTATTTGTATAAATTATTTCTACAGCCTAGGAGTTTTTTTATTGATAGCATACAAAGTGTTACACAATTTTATTAAGTTCTAAACTTCGCTTGAGCCCAGCACTTTTCAACAGGTTATGTGCATTAGTATTTGAGTCATAAATAAATAATAAAAGTAATTATAATTTACAGCTTTAATAAACTAACTATATATGTAAGACCATGACATATAGTTTAAATATAAAAGTTAATTTAATTGGTTGTAATATATTTTATGTGTTATATCAACTGCAAATTGTTTAATAAACAATTTGATTGTTTTAAAATTTTGGTATGCTTTTAAAAATATCTTTGGGAATCTCCAGATGTTAAAGAAAAGTAAACAGCGAATTAATTAATAAAAACCACCTACAATAATTATTACCGTGTCCTCTATCATTATTTGTAATCAGAAGAAGCTGAAATAATGAATAAATAACACCTTTAAGCATAATTTATCGAGATGACGCATATGGGATATAAAAAAGATTAAGACTAACACATGGTTCGCCCTTTTAGTATACAAATGCAAGTCATTCAGGTTTATAAATGATTTTTGATTAGTAGGTAATTAAATTTTTTACAGACTATTTATGGCGCGCAGATTATTATTATTTATTGATTTAAAGTGGCATTTATGAAGAATAATAATTTTTAATATATCTTTAAAGTATTATGTGCCAAGTTTGGAAAAACGGCACTCACTTTTAAATTAAATGATACATATTAATTATTGGTCCTACCTAAAGCTCTTTGGTGCTACCTACTCAACACATATTTTTTAATTGAACAAATGTCAAATATTTTACAATTTACGGTGCAAAGTAAATAATTGATTTTTTTAAATAAAATTAGGAAATACAAATAATTCACTATGACAATTTTATTTTTAAATAGTGAAAATAGGATTTTAATAAATGATAAGTCCTGACAAAACAATACAAAACACATTATTCCTTTTTATTTTTTAACATGGTTTTCGATCGATACACAACTCCTAACATTTCTATACGTTAAAAAATAGGATTCCGAAAGGTCCTTAAATTAGATAACTATTTTAGAAATTAACTCCATTCTGACTGTCCTTCAAAGGAAAAATCTAGTGAAGCGAAATTAATGCATTTTTTCATCGAAACTGCGTTTAGTCACGATTGCGAATATTTTTTAATGTGAACAAAACGCGGCACTTTTCCGATATAGGTATTTTTCACAATCAAAATGAAAAACCAATGAAGCCTAAGGAATCTTTACTTTAAGGGGTTACATACATTTGTGCTGGGTCAAAAAATCGATTTTTTTTATTAAATATTCTTACAACATATACTTTTAACAATATGTATCAAGATCGGAGCACTAGAACTTATGTTATAGCAATTTATAGCACGCTACCTCACGAATATTTAATGGCAAATTAAATGAACTTAAAACTTAAACTTAAACGCGTTTATCTTGGAATCGTATTTTTTGCAGCACAATTTATCGAAAACCAATTTACCGATCGATCTAAAATTTAAAAGTGTTGTTCCTAATTATAATATCTCCATCGTTAACGAAGGGATTTTCATTTTGCCGGAAATTTCTTTTTTACCGCCATTTGAGTGAACATTTTTTTTGCAAAACCCTTCGTTCACGAAGGGGGTAATACTATGTACTAATATCGTTTTTTTTCCATTAAAATCTGTTGGGCGGTTCTCGATATTTCATGCTCACCTCAAACGCTTAAAAAAAAGCGTTTCGGGACAAGGGCCGCATTTTCCACAATTTTCCATATTTTAGCATACAAATTTTTTTACGAAACCTTCGAAACATATCCTATTTGTTGCCAAAAAAAATCACCAAAAACCATTAATTTTTACGAGCTCATATATATTATGTGTGTAACCCCTTAATGGGCGAAACGGTTTAAGATAAAATAATGTATTTTTGGGATACACGGTGTATCATACACCTGTAGGTATCTAGGTATATGTTTTTTTATTAATATTTCTGGGTAAATATATTACATTAAAAAAGAAAAAATATTTTTTTTAAATGTGTCGTTTTATTTTGATTCGAAAATGGTTCATTTTATCGATATTCAAAAAAAGAAAATTTTATATTCTGCGGCCAACTTGCAAAAAAATAATTTGCCGCCCCTGTTTAATACACTCCCAAATAGTAATTTTAAATTTTGTTTTTAATTTTAAAATTTAGTACCTAACCAAAGAAGCATTTCATTATTTTATCTCAAACCGTTTTGGATACAATAAATAAAAACCATCTTTAGGGGCGCCCCTTCAAGAGGCTGTAGCCTCCATAGAGGAATTTGCCAACCGAAGTTGTCTTTCTATTTTTGTCTTTAGAAACTGCCTGAAGAGTATTGCACACTATTTTCCGTACACCCTGTATATTGTAAAGGAACATAAAATTAATCAGTTTAGTTCTTTTTTTTTATTATAATTTACTCAAAATTGTAGTGGCTCATTTAAATACAAAGGCTATTAGCGCAATCAAAAACAGATTACGGCAAAAAAAAATAATAGTAAAATTTATTGTGCAGTGGATGGGGCCATAAAGAAAAACAGCATGAAATATCGACGGATGATGGCTGTAGATTGACTGGCTACGATAAAAACGGGA